TTTTTTTTTGCTTGTGAAGTGATTGATTTATGTGATCTTACGTGTTACTATTAATAATTACATTAATTTTTACATTTCTTCGTAAAGTCATATATTTTTCAGCCTTTTGTTTGGTGGCGTACTTTTACTTGTGATATTCAATAAGAATGGAGAAGCAGAAATGATATCAGTGGAACTGATTAGGTGTGATTATTGTTCAAGAACAAAACGTTTTGTTTATTCATTTTGAAACAATTGTCAATTTCGTAAAGAAAAGTCAAAGAATTGAAATTTTTTATTAAATAATTTAAAAGTTAATTTTATAGATATTTGCGAAGCGATGATTTTTCCCATTTTCGCCTTTCATATTTCATTTTAATGTTTCTTCTTTTCGTTTTGATTATTTAAATGCATTAATACGTAAGCAATTGTTGAGATTATTTTAGAATTTCAGTTTTTCAAAAACAAACCCTTGAATGGTTGAATTTGTCGTTTACAATGAACTAATAACTACAGCTAATAACCATATATGCTTAATTTAATACGATAAAATATCCAATAATTCCATCCGTCTTGTAATCTCGAATAAAACTGATTAGAATTTTCAAAATTGCTGACTAAATTTTCCTATTGTAGAAAGAAATTAGATAGATTGCCAGTTTCTCTGTTATTTTTTGGCAGTATGTTTTTTTCTAAATAATAAGCTGATAATTTTAAGTGGACTTGGTAGCTAAGGTAAGATAATTTCCACTCTGAAATTATATGCTATCGAGATACTAAATTTACTAATATATTTTAATTAATTTATTTATATCTATGAAATATTAACAGATATATTTTTGGTGGATTATCAGCATTTACAATTTCATCGAATATTTTATTCGCCTTTTTACCTAATCATACCAATCGATCAACAATGAAACGTGACATTTTCTCAACAACTATAAGTAAATTGTTGGAATTCTTAGAAGTTCACTATCTAATTAACTAATTAATTGATTGATTGTTTAATTTGTTTATATCATGGAAATATGACATAATTTCGGAGATATTAACAATCTTTTAATTGTTTTCAGTAAGCCAATTTATTCCGTTTTTATTAATTAATTAAAAGTAAATCTCAGTTTGTTTGATTTTCAAACTTCGAAAAGATTTGTTTGATTTATCATCTGAGCTATTCAAATTAGATTTTATATAGAACAAAGAAAGATGAAAGGAAAGTCATAATTGAATGAAATTACATATTTTAATAAAATATAGCTCATTTAAATTTTTCATAATGAAATATAACATACTTTTTTTTGTTTTAATTTCAGAATTTATGATCAAAAAAACAAAAAAAAGTGATGTGAAGTTTTTAGGCAAAAGTGTAAAATTGTTTACCGACATAAAGGTGTACCTATTAGCTGTATGTTTTATGTTTATGGGTTTATCATTATCATTTTACATAACCATTTATCCATCATGTTTATTATTTTCTAAATCAATCATCAATTATGGTAATGAAATTATCGCTTATTACGCATTCGTTGCTGCAGCATCACAAATTTTTGGCTAGTAATCAAAATATTTATTTAAACAATTGCCTTATCAATGGTGGCTGATAGTGAAAATTTGTAAAGTCCAAGGTTGAAAAATGATAACAATAGCGCTTTTAAGCGTAATTTAAAGCTCGAATTTAGTTTTTTTCAGTTATAGGTCATAATTAATTACAATTTTAAATTATCATTACAACTTTGATTTAGAAAAAAGGCAAAAATGAATAAGTTTCAATCCTTTTTTCCTTATTGCCATATTTAAATATCACGAAAATCGAGGTCAATGGACGTATGGTTACGTTTCGTTTTGCAGAGAAGAAAAGAAAATTGCATTTTTCATATTAAATTAATTATTATGACTGTCAATGTGTTGAACAAAATTTAGATGGATATTTATTCAAAAAATCTTTTCTAAGCCACAAAATTGCATTTATTTATGAAGGAAGGAGAAATTAAAATAAATCATTAAAAATATATTTTTAAATTTTATAAATTTCTTTACAGGTGGATGCTTTGTTAGTTTCGTAAGTAAACATATCAACAACTTTGGTTACATGCCGACAATGTTCATGGCTTTACCATTGTATCTAGCAGGTTGTTTGAATGTCTGCTTATATTTTCCTAAATATGCAAATTTGGGGCCGACGAATGATGCGACGTACTTATCACCAAGGTTATTGTTGTTCTGATAAAGATTTTTTGGTTAAATTCTTGCTGATTTATTGAGCCTTAAGACAACAATACTTGGATTATACTACCGAAATGACAAATTTATTCTAAAATGTCGATCCAACAAAAACAAAAGATTTGTTAATAAAATTCATATTAAGATTTCTAATTTTTTATAATTTTAGCTATTATAATATTTAAAGCATTTCGAAAATTTTCAAAAAATATTCTAGCCTCTCCATGTGGCTTATCATTGGAATGTTGATATGCATTAGTGATAGTTTTTGGAATACGCTACGAACGGCTGTCCTTACGAAAATGTACAGTCATGATAGTTCGTCGCAAATTTTTGCATTAAGTAAATTTTTTCAGGTAATGTACATTTCAAATTCATTTACTTCTCAAATAAAATATTAAAAGATTAATTTGATTTTATATCTTTTATAAATGAATTAAAAAGATATTTTATTCGAACTGAATTACAACGGAAATTTATTAGCTTGCACACATTGTTTCCTTCGCACTATCGTATTTAACATCACGGTATTTTACTGTACTCTATTTTACAGTATTCTGTCCCTTTCTTTAATTTATCATAATTATCTGAATGATAATTGTTATAATTAACATTGGAATAATAATTATGACATTACAAACATTTTTTTTATTGCATTTGTTTCCTAATTTAGTGATATGAAAAGAAAAGTTTCATAAAAATTGTGAAACAAAAAACAAAAACATATGTAAATTGAATTATGCTTGTTTGTCCAGCAGAATCCTTTCTTCATGCATAATTTCAATACAAATAATGTTTGTTGAAATGCTACTAATATTATTGTGCTGTCATTTTAGTTATTATTATTGTCACTATTATTATTATCGTTGTTACTATTATTACTGTTATCATTGTCACTATTATCATCGTCGTTATTATTATCATCATTACTATTACCATTGTCACTTATTATTACTATCACTACTATTATCATTATCATCGATTATTATCATTATTATAATGATGCTGTTGTTATTGATATTATATAAAAATTATTATTATTATTTTCATTATCATATTATCATCTTTTAGTCAACGACAACATGCGCATCATTTTTCTATTCATCAATATTGGATTTGCATACTCAAATGATAATTATGATTTGTGGCCTAATTGCTGCATCGATATGTTTTGTGATTGCTTGGACAATACATTTACGAGAAATTCAAATTGCTGCCTCTCCCAATCATATCAATTCTATTTCAATTATATGCAGAAATAAGAATACATAGGTTTATAACTATTCTTATAATGAAAAAATATTATTGCTTGTTCAAATTATCTTGAAAAATTGTTTGGAACTACTTCAAAAAATTTAATAAAATGATAAAAATGTATTTGTTGCATAAAAATAAGTTGAAAAAATGCTGTTTAATTAGTACATTTTAGGTACAAATTCCGTGATTAAATTGAGTATAAAAATTAGCCTGTTTGTGAAAACTTTTTTCGCTGCACAAGTAGTTTATTGGCGTAGATAGCTAAGAATATATTTTTCTTGGCCATCTATGCCAACTTTCTACTACGAACAAATTTGCATATGTGCAAACTTGGTATCGATTTAAGAAAATGTATCTTTCTTTCCTCAAAAATTTGCATAATTTCCTGGGAATCATCCATAATATCTCATTGTCGGTTCAGCATTGTCAGTTCAACCGGTTGGTGCTTTATCGTCTTATGGTTTTGTGGTAAATAAGCGGAATTTAGGTATAATAGTTATTCGAAAAGTATTGCTTACTTGAAGTAAACCAAAACTCTTTCAACTCTTTCAACTATTTCATTTCATTTAATGAAATCAAAACAGTTAAATGATAATGTTATCGAGTAACTATTTGGACTTTCTAAAGTAATTTAGAAGACGATTCGAAAAAAAAAAAACTTTGTCTAACTTACTCATTGACTCATTAACTTGTTTTTTAATTGCAAAGTTAAGATGTATAAAGGAATTCTACAAAATAATTTACTCCTATTTTTCTTAGATTACTTTGCAAATAATACTCATCAACTTCATTGGGAAAAAAGCTATAGCAACAGCGAATAATACAGAAGAGCATGATTCATCATCATCGTATCATTATTATCCTGTTTTTTTTTCTCTTGAATTTTACTAAATATTATTTCAAAGCATTGATATAATATCATATATAAATTATAATATTTTATACCTTACAAATTAGATATTTCGAATACATACAAGGAAAGAATGTCGGAAACATCGGATCCTGTAACCGTAACAACAGCAATAGCAACGGCGAATAATGCAGAAGAGCATGATTCATCATCATCGTATCATACGGTATCCAAGAGTATACGATTCTCGTCTGATGCTTCTTTGCCGGATGGAGAAGTTACGCATAAGGGAAAAGATCTCGTCTCAGTATGCATTTGAATTTATTAATTAAATTTATAAGAATGGAACGAAATTATCATTAATAATTAATAACAAAATCTTTCAATTACGCTATATTTCCTATAATTATTGTATTTTAACAAATAATAATAATTATTGATAT